GCGCGGGGGCGGGGCAGGTCGTGGCGTACGACGACCCGCTGTCGCTCGCGATGAAGGCGGGGATGGCGCGCGCGGCGGGGATGCTCGGCGTGAACATGTTTGATGTGCACGGGGACACGGACGCGTGGGACCTCGCGGACGGGCTGCGCGCGGGGCTCGGGCTCGCGTAGGGCGCGGGTGTCGGTGCGCTCGTGTAGACGTCCCGGCGTGTGGCTGGCAATACATCCGTACGCCTGCGCGGTCTGTCCCAGGTGCTGCGACACACCATTCACGGTGAGTTGTCGGTGCCCTGGAGCGCGAGACGAGGGCAGGCGCGGCTCGCTCGAGCGATCTGCCTCTGCCCGCGGGCCCCTGGTGTCTAGTGCGCCGGATTTCTTAATGTCGCTGCGTTGCATAAATCCTGATCGGGCGACATGTGTCCGCGTCCTGCGGCCCTTGCGGGGCGGGGGGGCGAGCACGGAAAGCACCGGCGGGCGCACGCTGATCACGCCCCTTGCGGTGAGGGGGCTGATCATTGCGACGGGGATCAGGATTAATACAGGGAATCCCTCCGCGCCGTGCGCCGCTCTGCCGCTGTTTCCGCTACATGCGCCAGGCTCCTGCACGTCCTTGCGCCGCCGCGGCTGCAGCGGTTGCGGACGCGGGCGCCGCAGCCGGCGGGAGGGGCGTGCGCCCGGTGCGTGGATTTCGCAGATTCGCAGTACGTACGTGTTGCCTGATGCGCCGCCCGGGGCGGATCGCGTGCGCCATCTCGGCATGCGCCCACAGGGGCCCGCTCGTCTGCAGATGCAGTGGCATCCAAACAAATAAGTTACAATATCGCCGGTGCGGACTGCTACTACATCGTACACCCGTACACCCCTCCGCTCACAGCGCCAGCCCCGCGCCGAGCACCACCCCCAGCAAGGCCGTGCCCGCGCCGACGAGCACGTGTCCGTCGATCCCCCGCGCGCGTGCACCGCCCGACGCCTTTGTCGTGCTCGCCCCCGCGCTGGTGCTCGTGGTGCCAGTCTTGGTGCTGGTGCTGTTGGCGCTGCCGCTTGCACTCGCACTCGCGCTCCCGCTCCCGCTCGCCGTCGCGCTCGTCGAGAGGGTCACGGCGCCGCTCACTGGCACAGAGCAAGGTCAGCGCAGCATTCACAGAGCAAGGAGCAGGGGACAGACGCACCGCCTGCGCACTCGCTCGTCTGGAGCGCGGCCGCCGTGGCGAGGTCCGCGGCGGTGCAGTTCGCTTTGAGGCACGCCTCGGCGGCGGATTGGTACGCGGTGGAGGTGCAGACGCAGCTGATGTCGGTGCTGCCGCGCGGCGTCAGTCATCGCAGCGGGCGTTGGACGATGAGCGCGGGGGAGGGGACGTACATGCTGGAGCAGCCGCCGGAGGAGATGGCGGATTCGAGGCAGTTGAGCACGCATGCGTCGGGGCTGGGGATCGAGACGTGGAACGAGGGCAGGGGGGCGGAGGCGCTGCCGCTCGCCGCCGCGGCGGGGATGGACAGCCAGGCGGCGGCGGCGGCGAGGACGGGGAGGACGAGCGAAGCGGTGCGCATTTTGGGCGTGGGCGTGGGTTATGGGTGAGGGTGCGGGTGAGGGTGAGGGTGAGGGTGAGGGTGCGGGTGAGCGAGAGGCTCTTGGGGGGCGTCGGTGCGCGGTGCGCGGTCTTATGTAGGCAAGCCTGCTTCGCGCCTGCCATATTGGAGGCAGACAGCGATGAAAGATGGATGGGGTCAAACCAGCACTGCCCGCGGATGGGGGTCTGACAGATTTCAACAACAGTCGGACACCTTCGCTCACGCTCTTCTGGCCCAGTCCCATCGCTTTCCGTGTGTCGGTCTTGCCTTCCGTAGTCAATTTCGCTCGTCCCCCCCGTTCATGTGCTGAGGGCGGAAGGGGCACGCGGAGTGCGTCGCTGCTCCGTCCCCTCACAGAGCCGGCGATGAATGAATTCACTTTGATCTATGTGTTTGTTGTCATCACACAGATGTCTAATAATCAAAGCAAACGCGCCCGGGCTCTTGGTCTTCGAGGTTGTTCCGCGCACACACGCCAAGCGCGCTGTTGACCGTCTCTCCCCTCGCGAAGCTGATTGGAACACGCACACTGACGGCGCATTTTGTTGTCATCGAACAGATGGTCTACAATGGATGCAAGCGTATAAATGATACCTCCCTTGAGCTCTATTGGAGGCCCGGCGCCTATGCACATCATGCATGGATCACGGCGTACGTGGGAGCGACGCGGCCAGAATGGAAGTTCTCCGGGAAAAACGAACACTGGAATATGAATGTGATTGATACACTGTCTGATTCAGTTTGTTACAGTATGCTAACATCGTGCGTATTGACATGGGTTCATCATGTGGTGTAAGGTCCTTATGAAGCAACGGTCGTGCAGAAGAGAAACGGGGGAGTGATACGAGGCCATGCAAAGTCCAATTCGTGTCCGTGGTTTTTGGCGTCTCCCGGGGCCCTGGGTGGCGCAGAGTCGTGCAAGGAATGACTGAAATGCTGAAAGAAAATGAAACCAACGCGTTGGGGGTGAAGGGAAGTCTGGGCGTTTAGAGCGTGTGCCAAATGAGCGTGTCGTGTGCGTGAAGTAGTCTGGGATAACGGGAGGTCGGGCAGGAGGGTTGGGATGGGAGATTTGGATTTGTCGGGGGCGGTCCTACATGCCGAGGAGCCTCTTCCAGTCGAATACGCGCGACGGGGTGCTGTTGCACCGCTTGCGGCGCACGGTCTTCGAGGAACGCAGGAGCTGGCCCACGTCCTCGTACATCAGGTGCACGTCCCGCGGCGCGTGCGATGTGGTGAACAGCGCAAATGGGTTGGCAGGCGTCGCGCTTTGGAAGAGGGTGAGGGACGCATTGTGGGACATTATGCGGACGTGTGCGGGTATGCTGTCGTCGACGTCGGTGGTGGTGGAGATGGGGGATGCAGGTGGGACGGGCGAGTCGTCGCAGACGACAGGCGAATACAGAGGACAGGTCCTTGGGCTGTCCAGGACACGGAAACACGGCTTAAATAGCTACTCACTACTCACCACCGTGTTGGCGGGCCACCAAGTGGCCACTTCCTTCAGGTGCATGCCACCCCCGCGGGCAAAACAAGTCTGACCGGAACGGGAACATGCGTTGTCGTCGACTCGGACCCACAAGCACACACATACAAGAGCCGTTTCCAGGACGTTCAGCCGAGTGTGGCCAGCGAGGCAGGTGTCTGTCCGGTGCAACTCGAATATAAGGACAGTCGAAGGGCGAGGGACAAGGAGAGCGGAACGAGTCTAAGGCGCTTGTCTGCAGCTTGCATCCGTCCAGTCATCTGCGGGCTCTTGCGGGGAAATCGATTACTTTCACCTGTGCTTACTCTGTGTGACCGATCAATGAGCTTTGTGGTGTCTTGTCTGCGTTCCGGCTGTCGTGTTCTTCATCGCGGCTACGATGCTCTTGTACGGTTGTAGAGCGGAGGCTGTTGCGTGCAGGATGCGCCAGGAGGTCATGTCGGTGAGTCACAAGCTCGTTGCCAGACTACCGCATTGAAGACTCATCTGAATATGCTCCACACTCCACAGGCTCCTCCCGTCAGAAATATGCGGGCAGCAATTGACCTTTGATAGTTCTTTGATCTCGCATCTTACGATCAACTCATCTGCGCCGAGCCAGCCCTCCAACGCCTCCATAATTTAGAACCGTGCCCAACACTTCATCTCTCGCAAGTACGTGTCGACACCCATCAAACTTGGTCATAGGTCATACGGGCCGTTACAGCCATCTCAAAATCGATGCGCCGCACCTGAGAAAATACAATGCAGCATGGGTGGCATCGGCTGGGCCAGCACTACGGCGGCTCTGGTGCCGCCTGCGGCCTGGGTGTTGCTCCGCGGGGTGAGTTGTCTTCCTCCTCGAGTCGGCGGTTGCGCTCTGGGCGATTCCACTGGACTCAGACGGTATATTCATCCCTCTCAAAAGGAGCTGATTACGACAATGTCAAGTCATATGCCAGACAACGGAATTGCCCATGCTACTGGTATCAATGAACGGGCATAAAATGTATGAAAGTTCGTCATTATTTTCGTCCCTGCTGTCCTCAACGAGGGTGATACGACACTACTGGGCAACTCGCCACCTACAATATCAAGCCGCCGTCAGCCGAGGGGCCACCATGCTCCATGGTATTTTTCCGGGGACGGGACATCGATTTTTTGAGATTGTTGCAAACATCGTGCCGCCATCCGCGGAGGCCAGCGCGCTGCACAGCCTTCCATGAGTATTGACTTTGGCAGATCATCTGATACCCCACCCGGTTGCGGTACAGCCATCTATTCAACTTTAATGCCACGCACTAAACCTCTTTGTGCATGCAGTTTGATTTTGCATCACCCTTCGCCTCCTTACGCTGGGCTTATTTCTACTCCCATCGTACGGCCATCTCTCTTTAAAATTGCTCCTTTGATCGAGTCTTCGCCTGTTTTTCCTCCCTTTCTTCATGTGGGCTTTCTCTCTTGGTTTTCTGCTACTTTTGGCTTTGGTTCATCCTATCTATGGCGCTGCTAGCCCACCATCGGTGCCGCTCGCAGTCCGGTCTCCTTATTTATCTACGTGGTTGACACCCGGTTCGACTGCACTTAGCGCTTCCTGGCCGTCGTTCTGGAATGGACACGTGAGTTAGATAGACTGTAGGGAATAACTTGTAGTCGTCCTGACGAGGGGCATCTGCAGAATTTAGGATGGACTGGATTTGTGAACGTTGATGGAGCGTCCTACGTTTTCATGGGAACCCCTGACGTTCCAAATACAACGTTCAAACCCTCGGTCCAGACGCCGGGTATGGAGGTGAGTAGGTGTGTAGTATTGCTGGCGCTGGTCTCTTACGGCCGTGCAGATCACCTCGACTCAAAGTATCTTTACGATGACTGCGGGACCTGTCGAGCTGACAGTGCGATTCCTCAGTCCTGTCGAAGTACGTCGGGCTTTGTATCTTCGCTGCTGTCGCTGAACATCAGCATATAGCCCAGCGATCTCGTGAACCAGTCTCTCCCATTCTCATATTTTGCAGTCTCCGCACAATCCGTCGATGACAAGTCCCACGAGGTGCAGGTGTACAGTGATATCAGTGGCGGATGGCTCTCTAGTAACAGTAGTATGACCGTGAATTGGACAACATCCGTGGAGAATGCCATCATCCATCAGGTCCAACTAGAGAATCAAACGCTTTTCGCCGATGTGGATGATCGCATCCAACGTGAGTATTATAGGTCGCAGTAGCGTGGCACATGAGCTGATTTAACAGCGTAGAGGGTTCTGTCTACTATGCCACTCTGAACGTGAGCTAAAACGGGCGGGCGCTTTTAGTAGTCTACTTATGCTTGTATTTTTTCCCCAGACTTCTGGGACGACATTCCAGACTGGACGTGACATCGACGTCCGCG